AAAAAAAAAAAAAACAGAAGTTCCTCACTCATATGTGTTTTTCTGTTATACTTAATTGCAAACTCAATTTCACCAATCCAGAATTCTTGAGTATAGCAACCTAGCAAATATATCTCGTGTGTTTACCTTTCCATCATATTGATGAGCTCATGATCCCTAGGCTTCATACCCCATTTCGTGTCAATGAGAAGGCACACTCTCTTTAGACCAACTCGTGTTGAGACATATTCTTTCACCTATAAAATTGAAATGTATCAAATCTGAGTTGCAAATTGAATCAACTAATGTCTATAAATGACCAGCCAACGCAGCTAAAACATGATCATGAACATACATACCAATGCATATTCACAGTAAGTAGAGGGCCAATTAAAGGGAAAGTAGTCAAAGCATAGTCTAATTCGTCTCCAGTTCAACAAATTGCCACTTCTTACACTCGGAAAATACCTTGTTTCAAATTCCTACCTAAAGTGCGATACTCTTCCTTTTCTTGATCTTGATTTGCATAGAAATTTTGTAAAGAGCATTCGTATTTCGTTTAACAACAAAACAATCACAATTCTATCTTGAGTATCATTCGATACTTCTTCAGTCAGAAAAGAAATGTTCTTNTATATGTTGATTCGATCAACATATAAGGCATGACAGTATCTGAACCACAGACAACAAATTTAGTAGAACCTTCGAACCACGTTAAGAGCTAGAGTGCACCACATTAGTCAGTAGATATACAGGCAAGTAACTTTCCTCACCAAATAAATGGAGTAATTTGCCAAAGGATCCCACGAATACTCAGCAGAAAAAAATCTTAATCCACACGTTCCCGACTTTCAGTTTTGAAAAATGGGAGAATAAATTCCTTAAAGACACCATTTACCACTGGATACCTTTCCGTTCTACAAATATTGTCAAGCAAGATGAAACTGGCTGGCTAGATAGCCAGATAACTTCGAAAAAACAGTTCAGCCTCCAATCTGCACACAAACAGACCACATTAACCTCACATGATATCAGTGGAGGTTGAGCCCTAATGTAATATGCTATATCCTGGGACCTATGTCAACACAGCATAGCCAACTGGGAGCCAGTATCAACAGTATAGAAGAATTAAGCTTTATGTACAACCCTTATTAGTGGGACTCAGATCAACTTCAGTACACCATCCTTTCAATTTCCCCAATGCTAGACCATATACTATGATTCGAAGTGACGTCACATCATACATGATGGGTGGCCATTGAGAGAATTGACAGAAAAGTGCATGTGAGAGGATGCAAATCCATTAAAGTAAAATCTAAGGGAACTGGGTCAAGATGAGGTTAGTTCAATACCACCGAACCTGCCAACATTATCAGATGATATGATGAACGGTTGATGAACTGAAACCCAGTATATTAATCGGATTGATCTCCATGTTAAAAGAAATCCGGTTGGTCACTGTTATTTAGGAGTCATATCCAAACCCAAAAATGATTGAAGGGTTTAGGTAAGGTTTGGGCCAAAATTATACTTTCGATTTGATAGAAACTGACATTTTACTGCAATTAACATGAAACTTCGTCCAAAATACCTTCTACAATTTTGCAAACCGAGCAACCTTAGCAAGCGCCGTTCTTAAACATTGGAAACCAGCTCCAGTTTTTGAGCTTACCATCATCTGGAATAAAAACCAAAGCCAAAGTACTAAGCTAGTCCTATACAATACTGGGCAAAACATCAAATCAAATTAAAGAATTAAACTTATTACCACAGGCTGCACAACAGACTTCTTTGCTTTGAGGCTCTACAAAACCACATCATACATATGAATAGTAGTCCAACGGGCAAGCGTTACAGACATAAGAAAAAAGTTGATGGATTCAAGTAATACCTCTTCAATTTGCGTTGCACGGCGTGCCACATCAATTGGGAATACCAAATCCGTCTTTGTTAACACAATCTGGTATTTTGTTTGAGACCTTTCAATCAATAACGAAAATCACAAATCTGAGTCCACAAAGAATTTTCTCATGCAAAGGGGAAACTAGATGTCCCCACAGTCAAAGGAAAATAAGAATACACACAAATAAACCCCAACCAAAATACATGGGAACTAGTTTCAGATCCATAAATCAACAATGATAATCACCAAATTGCATTCATACTAAGACATATTTCTTTATGAAGCACAAATCAGATGCCCCATCACCAAAGAAAAACACACACAAAGACAGAGAGAGGGAGGAAGAGAGAGGAGAATGCAAGGTTTGTATCGTACTAAGGGCTCAAGCAGCAACTTGAGTATCCCATGAAAATTTTATGGCAGCAAATTATATTCTTGTGTAGTTCATTTGGTGTTGATTCTATCACAGCAATGACTTGATTGAAAATGATAAGTTGAAAGCTTCCTAACGATAAAATGGATTAGTCAACGACTATGACAAAGCAACATCAAAACTGAAACATGTAGTGCATCAAATTCTATTCCAACAACATCTGCCCCACAGAAACTGAACGGGTAAACAAAGCAAGACATATGAAAATGTCAACGACATATAGATGCAATCAGATCAATTTTCAAAAAAAAAAGGGGGGGGGGG